AGTAAATATCTTAGCAAATATAATTTCCCCCTAATTGTATAAATAGAGCTTGTTATCACTGAATGAGTCGAGCAATTCAATTTTAAATCTTCCCTTCTTTAAAGCTCTTAAGTTTGACTTCAAATTTAGATTTTCTTTGTTAACTAAAGGGCTATTTATTTCCGACTTAATGGATTTAATGACAATGATGACTTAATCATTCCGCCATTAAGTCATGTTTGACTTAAGTGGAAACATGACTTAATCATTCAATAAAAAAAATGACTTAATCATTAAGCTGAAGAATAACGGTCCTTCCCATTAAGATGTCTAATATGACGTTTCTTTCTGTCAATTTTTTCAAATTGATTGTGGAATAGATTTATATTAAAAATGAAGTTTTTCATTGTCATTATAATCCAAGAATAATACTAAATTGATTATTTTACTCGATTCAGATTGTTTATTCAGGATATAAAATAGGAATAATGGACAAGAATAATCCCAACAGTGATCTGCTTGAAATAATCTAAAGTATCAATTACGTATCTCAAAATAATCCCAACTATTGATTTTTTTTCTCAAAATATTACACTTACTCATAAATATTACTATGTACAAGTTATTTATGGATAATTATAAGTCACCAGAGTATTTGGATAAGATTTTTTCAATAGTTGGGATTATTTTGAGATAATTGATACTTTGGATTATTTCAAGCGGATCACCATTAGTTGGGATTATTCTTATCTATTTTTCCTACAAAATAAACAACATCATATACAAATATCCACTTAATCCAAACAGACATATTAATCCAGACATTAATCCATCCAGACATTAATCCATTAATCCAGACAGGAGAGAAAAAAAGTAAACAACCCCTAAGCATCCTTTCTTCATGTCAGATTAGCCCTTTGACACTCTTCCTTGTGGTAATGAAAGCACATAAATTTAATTTCACAGATTTTGAAGTATCTTAATTATGACTCCAGTTGTCGCATTTTACAAAGGGAATCTCTATGAAAGAAAAATAAAACGCAACACTTTTCGAAAAAGGATATTTAAATGCATACATAGTACTAGTATTTTTTTGGGAAAAGGAACATATATACCCCTACATTATAATGGTGGGAGCACATATACCCTTATTGTATTTTTTGGAACAAAAATTGAACAAAAGTGAAATTAGGGTGCAAATATATCCTCCTAAACGTTTTAATACCTTCACGTTAGATCCAATCTCTGTTAATTTATCATCTTCAATCATTTGCCTCTGCTTTCTTCATCTTGACAGAAACAACCCAAACTACTTCTTCATTACAGTAAAGCAAACCAACCAGCATCCATAGATAGAGCTTCTCCTTCCTGTTATTAATACGTAGTGTGTAGTATTTGTTGATGGCTTTTTCTGCTTCCCCAATTTGTCAACAAGATCTCTAAACCATATCAATTTCAAGCTAGACTACGAAGGATAACACAAATTAAAAAGTGCTTTTGTGGACAAACAACTCCAAGATTCAATATGAAGACTCTGAATAATCCTGGATGGCGCTTGCAACTTCTGCTATGTCTCTTTAGTGCATCAGAGCTCTAAAATTAATAATAACTAGGTCCAACACTTCATTTTATTTTCAAGTTGCAGTTTCATAAAGAAAACCATTGAGCTAAAAGTTGGTAAATTGAAGAAAAAAAGGCAAGAAAGAAACCTATTCCAGAAATTTACATTTGGGAAGTAGGGATGACACAATAGTATGATTTAGATCCAAATACTTGAAAAGCATGACCAAATCCAGAGCAACAAGCCATGGATAGAGATATTTCCTCAAAGACAATTGATTTGGAAACATAAATCTGGATATTTGATTTAACTTGTTGGCTACGTACATACACCTTCCTCTCCTCTTCAAAGGTTGTGTTTTTGCGCTAAGAAGCCGGAGAAGGCGTGAACAAATTAACATTGGGTTAGTTTGAGCCTGATGCTGAAGTATTAAAACTTCAAGAAGTGTAGATTTGTACCTTACTTTTAGTTTAATCAGTTTTTTGTTCCAAAAAATAAAACAAGGGTATATATGTACCCACACTTATAGTGCAAGGGTATTTATGTTCCTTTTCCCTATTTTTTATACCTTCTCTTCATTTTGTACTGTTCAGATCAGAAATACCTAACTTCTCAAGCATTTAACAAAACTAATGATAATTATGAACTCAACATGTGATGTTCAAAACATAATTGCAACATATTCCTCTTATTTATGCCATTTAGTTTCTTAAATAGAGTTTAATACTAAAAACCTTCCATAACTATAAAATACAAAAAATGCTTAATGTCCAATTATGATCGATTAGCAGATCAATATTTTTGAAAAGTTGCAGTTTCATCAATTTTGTACATTTACACTTGAGTTCCATGCCCTTTTGTGAAAGTGATGTTCTTTAACTTTTATATTTTACCTTTTCTTAGGGCTTATTATAGATGTATTGGTTAATTATTTGATTTTTATGGAACAGCACAATAGCTCTTGAACATAAAATTTTCCTTATGAAATTTCCAGACATTGGTTAGTGTATTGATGCAATTGTATTTTTAGAATAAAAATACAAAACGATTATCACCTGTGCGTATGCACGGGTACTATACTATCTCATCTAAAAATCTTCTCTAAATCTTTTAGAAAGCACGTAAGTTCGATTTCAGTTTTAGAATTTCTTTGTTAACTTCATGTGAGATTAGTCCTTTGAAATTCTTCCTTGTGGCAACAATAGCACATAGATTTAAATTCACTTTTAGATTATGTAGTGTCTCAATTTTTAGTAGTATCTTTCAGATCTTATTATAACTATTTTCATTCTTTAAAAATGTTTGTGCTTGTTTTTTGTATGCTAAAACAGTCGGCATCACACTTTTGGAATAATTTTCAAAATCTAAGAGCCTTGGGAAGTGGATCGTTCGGCAGAGTGGTATTGTGTATAAACAATTGGGACAGGAACAAATATGCAATTAAAGTGGTTAAGGATTACACCTCACTGGAAGAGGCGTCTCAGGAAGCTAGGGTGATGTCTAAACTTCATCACCCTTTCATCACACGCTATAATATGGTAATTTATAAAAACTTCTCTTGTACATGCATTTTTATTTCAGTTTCTTTTTAACAGATTTTATTTTAATCAATAATAATTACAAGCATGGGTTGAAAAGAATATGATGAAGAGTTCGATGGTTAACTATGATGAATCTCCAACACCCTGCTTGTTCATACTTCAAGAATATTGTGCAGAGTAAAAAGCTTTTTAAAAAACTTTTTAACCTTTGTGTGTGATTGAGTTAGTGAATTATTATTTGCACTAATTCTTTTGTTGGATGTAGAGATTTGAGGGCAGTTCTCCAAAAAAGAAAGAATTTTATCAGAGAGCTATATAAAAAAGATATTTATCCAGTTGGTGTATGCCTTGAGCCATACCCATACTACGGGGTATGTGCATGGAGATATTTCCCTTGGAAATATCTTTTTGAGTGGTCAAGACTCGGTGAAATTGGGAGACTTTGGATTAAGTAAGAATTATTTTCAGTTACATAATTTTATTTGTATTTATTATATTCTCCGTTATTTAAATTAGTTGTGTTTCACAGGTAAGCGCATTGGACAGCCATCTACCGGGTTTGGAACTGAACCGTTTCGATTTCCTAGACTTAGGAAAGGAGATCCGGTTGTTCCTGCCCATGACTGGTACGGTGTTGAAGTATTACTATATCTATTGTTAAACCCAACCGCATTGAGTAATGTAGACGATTTAAAAAAACCGCGCCTTGACGATTGGGAACACCCGGTGAAAAGCATATGCCGCTCTCTACTTGATGAAGATATCCCCCTTACTCAGAACCTGAAGACAGAAAACTGGATAACTGAGGTAAATAATTGAAATACTTTATTATTGAAAAAAATCCACTTTTGATCCCATGACTATTACGCCACGTCCACATTAATCCCCTGAGTTTCAATTTAACCAAATGTAGTCCTTGACCTTTTCCACGTAACCACATGTGGTCCTTCCGGCCACAATTCCGGCTAAATGTTACCGGAAACCATTTAATGAAGGGTAGTTGGGGGCATTTTAGTAAATTTAGATTACAAAAACGGCTACCTAATAAACTACTCAATTAAGTTAACTTAATTGTGAGCTAATACCGTCGTCTCCCTCTACCTCAAAAACCGAACTCTCTTCAGAGGGAGACGACGGTATTAGCTCACAATTAAGTTCACTTAATTGAGTAGTTTATTAGTTAACCGTTTTTGTAATCTAAATTTACTAAAATGCCCCCAACTACCCTTCATTAAATGGTCTCCGGTAACATTTAGCCGGAATTGTGGCCGGAAGGACCACGGGTGGTTACGTGGAAAAGGTCAAGGACTACATTTGGTTAAATTGAAACTCAGGGGATTAATGTGGACGTGGCGTAATAGTCATGGGACCAAAAGTGGAATTTTTTCAATAATAAAGTATTTCAATTATTTACCTCAGTTATCCAGTTTTCTGTCTTCAGGCTCTGAGTAATGGGGATATCTTCATCAAGTAGTGAGCGGCATATGCTTTTCACCGGGTGTTCCCAATCGTCAAGGCGCGGTTTTTTTAAATCGTCTACATTACTCAATGCGGTTGGATTTAACAATAGATATAGTAATACTTCAACACCGTACCAGTCATGGACAGGAACAAACGGATCTCCTTTCCTAAGTCTAGGAAATCGAAACGGTTCAGTTCCAAACCTGGTAGATGGTTGTCCAATGCGCTTACCTGTGAAACACAACTAATTTAAATAACGGAGAATATAATAAATAATAAATACAAATAAAATTATGTAACTGAAAATAATTCTTACTTAATCCAAAGTCTCCCAATTTCACCGAGCCTTGACCACTCAAAAAGATATTTCCAAGGGAAATATCTCCATTCACATACCCCGTAGTATGGGTATGGCTCAAGGCATACACCAACTGGATAAATATCTTTTTTATATAGCTCTCTTGATAAAATTCTCTTTCTTTTTTGGAGAACTGCCCTCAAATCTCTACATCCAACAAAATAATTAGTGCAAATAATAATTCACTAACTCAATCACACACAAAGGTTAAAAAGTTTTTTAAAAAGCTTTTTACTCTGCACAATATTCTTGAAGTATGAACAAGCAGGGTGTTGGAGATTCATCATAGTTAACCATCGAACTCTTCATCATATTCTTTTCAACCCATGCCTGTAATTATTATTTATTAAAATAAAATCTGTTAAAAAGAAACTGAAATAAAAATGCATGTACAAGAGAAGTTTTTATAAATTACCATATTATAGCGTGTGATGAAAGGGTGATGAAGTTTAGACATCACCCTAGCTTCCTGAGACGCCTCTTCCAGTGAGGTGTAATCCTTAACCACTTTAATTGCATATTTGTTCCTGTCCCAATTGTTTATACACAATACCACTCTGCCGAACGATCCACTTCCCAAGGCTCTTAGATTTTGAAAATTATTCCAAAAGTGTGATGCTGACTGTTTTAGCATACAAAAGACAAGCACAAACATTTTTAAAGAATGAAAATAGTTATAATAAGATTTGAAAGATACTACTAAAAATTGAGACACTACATCATCTAAAAGTGAATTTAAATCTATGTGCTATTGTTGCCACAAGGAAGAATTTCAAAGGACTAATCTCACATGAAGTTAACAAAGAAATTCTAAAACTGAAATCGAACTTACGTGCTTTCTAAAAGATTTAGAGAAGATTTTTAGATGAGATAGTATAGTACCCGTGCATACGCACGGGTGATAATCGTTTTGTATTTTTATTCTAAAAATACAATTGCATCAATACACTAACCAATGTCTGGAAATTTCATAAGGAAAATTTTATGTTCAAGAGCTATTGTGTTGTTCCATAAAAATCAAATAATTAACCAATACATCTATAATAAGCCCTAAGAAAAGGTAAAATATAAAAGCTAAAGAACATCACTTTCACAAAAGGGCATGAAACTCAAGTGTAAATGTACATAATTGATGAAACTGCAACTTTTCAAAAATATTGATCTGCTAATCGATCATAATTGGACATTAAGCATTTTTCGTATTTTATAGTTATGGAAGGTTTTTAGTATTAAACTCTATTTAAGAAACTAAATGGCATAAATAAGAGGAATATGTTGCAATTATGTTTTGAACATCACATGTTGAGTTCATAATTATCATTAGTTTTGTTAAATGCTTGAGAAGTTAGATATTTCTGATCTGAACAATACAAAATGAAGAGAAGGTATAAAAAAATAGGGAAAAGGAACATAAATACCCTTGCACTATAAGTGTGGGTACATATATACCCTTGTTTTATTTTTTGGAACAAAAAACTGATTAAACTAAAAGTAAGGTACAAATCTACACTTCTTGAAGTTTTAATACTTCAGCATCAGGCTCAAACTAACCCAACGTTAATTTGTTCACGCCTTCTCCGGCTTCTTAGCGCAAAAACACAACCTTTGAAGAGGAGAGGAAGGTGTATGTACGTAGCCAACAAGTTAAATCAAATATCCAGATTTATGTTTCCAAATCAATTGTCTTTGAGGAAATATCTCTATCCATGGCTTGTTGCTCTGGATTTGGTCATGCTTTTCAAGTATTTGGATCTAAATCATACTATTGTGTCATCCCTACTTCCCAAATGTAAATTTCTGGAATAGGTCTCTTTTGTGGCATCCGCCACGCGCCGCCACGCACCGCTGAAAGTCCGCACTGCAGTTTTACATTTTCTCAGATCTTTCTCTTTCTAGTTATCTGGCGTTGACACCTCCAACCACGGGAAGTTCCTGACTTTCCGGCGACCAGAACGGCATAAGTTACGCCGCCGCCGACCGAGTCACGCGCCGCCGCCGCCGACTGCCGCCGCCACCGACATCCGTGAACGCCGTCGTCCTGTGTCCTACGCCGCCCGCCAGCAATCTTCCGCACCTCCCAGAAAGATAGAGGTCTGTTTTCTTCATGCCTTTGTAGCTACAGTCCTGTTCTTCAACCTACCTGGGAATTCTTACGGGCTTCACTGCTGCTGCCTGAGGAATTCTTACCGCTGCTTTACTTCACATTAATTATTGTTGCACTATTTTAAATATTTAACTTTTTGCTGCTCTTGTTAAAAAAAAAAAGAAAGAAAGAAAAAGAAAAAAAAGATGTCTTCTGGTTTTTCTTCGTTTGCTTCTGTTCCAATTATCACTACAGATCGATCAATTGGAAGTGCTAATTACCAATCATGGGCCATTTCCGTGGAGATGTGGTTCAAAGGTCAAGGAAAAATTGATCACTTGATTAAAGATGCTACTTCTGTCCAAGAAAAGAAGACCGAATGGGAGAATATGGATGCTCTGTTGTGCAATGTCTTGTGGCAATCAACGGATTCGAAACTTCATCTCACATATCAATCCTATCGAACGTGTAAACAGATTTGGGAAAAAGCCAAGTCTAATTACACGAACGATATTCAAAGTTTGTTTTCTTTCGGCTCCAAAATTGCCACACTCAAACAACAGGATTCAGATATTCAAGATTTTCTGGGACGGGCTGAGGCTTTACTATTTGAGTATAATACCATTCAGCCAATCACGGAAGATAAAGAGAAACAACTTGAACAACGACAACAATTGGTTATGGTTTTCGCCTTGGCAGGCCTTCGTCCAGAACTATTATCAATACGAGAGCAGATTCTCTCTAGTTCCACTATTCCTACTATGACAGATGCTTTTGCTCGAATTCTTCGCGCAGCCCCGATATCTGCTGAATCAGGATCTAGCGACTCTATCATTCTTGCATCCCAAGGTTTAGGTCCTGATGGAGCAAATCACAAAGGATATCCGCGGCGAAACCATCCTAAGTGTGACTACAGCCATAAGATTGGTCATACTAAAGACAAGTGTTGGAAGTTACATGGGAGACCTCCTAGCTCAGCCAATGTTGCTCAGATCCCTCCATCTCCGGTTGTTCTATCTCCAGCTGAATATGCAACATATCAAAAATTTAGATCGAGTCACATGCTTGAATCTACACCTGGTACGTCTACCGCTTGTGTTTCAAACACCACAAGCTCATGGATTCTTAACTCCGGTGCCTCATATCATATTTCTGGTAATCCCCATCTTTTATCCCGTATTACCAAGCATCAACATCTTCCGTTAATTACTCTCGCTAATGGCCTTCAAACTTCGGCCACGGGTATTGGGCAAGCACTTCCACTTTCTTCCTTACCATTAGACTCAGTCTTATATGTTCCCAATAGCCCTTTTAACCTTGTCTCTGTTAGCAAAATTACACATGCTCTTAATTGTTCTATAACCTTTTTTGCTGATTCTGTGATTGTGCAGGACCGTTGTACGGGGAAAACGATTGGCGTCGGACATGAATCTCAAGGCTTGTATCATCTTCATCCTCCTGATCCAATTGCTTGTGTGTCGGTTGATCATGCCATTACCTTACATAATCGTTTGGGTCATCCTAGCCTCTCAAAGTTTCGACGTCTGGTTCCAGGTTTCTCAAAGTCTTTCATCTTTAGAGTGTGAGTCATGTCATCTTGGAAAGCAACCTCGTAAATCCTTTCCAAGACAGGTCAATAAACGGGCTGCGTCCCCCTTTGATTTAATTCATACAGATGTATGGGGTCCTTACAGAGTCACTTCTACTTTAGGATTTCGTATTTTGTTATTTTTGTGGACGATTTTTCTCGTTACACATGGTTGTTTTTAATGAAAGATCGTTTTGAATTATTTCATATTTTTCAAAATTTTTGTGCTGAAATTCGCACTCAGTTTGGTCATTCTATCAAAATTTTACGCAGTGACAATGCAAAAGATTTTTTTGCAGCACCCATTAATCAATTCATGACATCACGGGGTATGCTTCACCAATCATCTTGTGTTCACACGCCTCAACAAAATGGGGTTGCTGAACGCAAGAACCGACACTTGGTTGATACCGCTCGTACCCTATTATTACATTCCCATACACCGCCTCAGTATTGGGCAGATGTTGTGCTCACTGTGTGTCATTTAATAAATAGAATGCCCTCCTCAGTTCTTAATAATGAAATTCCCTATTCTATTTTGTTTCCTGCTCGTGATTTATTTCCATTACCACCTCATATGTTTGGGTGTGTGTGTTTTGTCCATGATACGACACCTGGATTAGCTAAAATGTCGGCTAGGTCAATAAAATGTATTTTTCTTGGATATTCGCGACTCCAAAAGGGTTATCGTTGTTATTCTCCAATACTTAAGAAACATTTTATTTCAGCCGATGTCACTTTCATTGAGTCGTCCTTTTATTATCCATTATCTTCAGTTGATACCCCATCATGTTTGGACTTCACCTCATATCTCCGGCCCATCCATCAGGAGACTCCCATTAACCCCCCATCTGATGAGCACCCAAACTTCCCTCCTATGTCAGACCGTCCATTACAGGTATACCATCGACGTCCTCGACCTCCTCCCATTGAGCCCATCGTGGCCACGCCCGTTGATTCCCCTACGACGGATCCTGCATCACCACCACCACCTACTCCAGCACTTGAAACCACTCAGGATGATTTGCCCATTGCCCTCCGAAAAGGTACGCGTTCCACATTGAATCCACATCCCATATATAACTTTTTGAGTTATCACCGCCTCTCTACCCCTTACCATGCTTTCATTTCACACCTGTCTCATATATGCATTCCTAAAACCACACATGAGGCACTGGCACACCCGGAGTGGCGTAAAGCCATGTTGGCTGAGATGGAGGCTCTTCATTCTAGTGGGACGTGGGACTTAGTCCCTCTTCCCACTGGCAAATCAATGGTGGGATGTCGGTGGATTTACACAGTTAAAGTTGGGCCTGATGGGGAGATTGATCGTTTTAAAGCACGCCTTGTGGCGAAAGGGTATACTCAGATATATGGTTTGGATTACACTGACACTTTTTCTCCTGTAGCGAAGATAACATCAGTTCGTTTTATTTTATCCATGGCAGCAATGAGCCACTGGCCATTGTTCCAATTGGATATTAAAAACGCATTCCTTCACGGAGATCTGCACGAGGAAGTTTATATGGAGCAACCACCTGGATTTGTTGCTCAGGGGGAGTCTGGTATGGTGTGCAGATTACGTCGTTCATTATATGGCTTGAAGCAATCTCCACGTGCATGGTTTGGGAGGTTTAGTGACGTTGTCTGCAACTTTGGCATGATTCGAAGTGATGTCGATCATTCTATATTCTACAGACATTCTGCTGGCAACAAATGTATTTAGCAAATTTCAAACAAAAGACTTGGGAAAATTGAGATACTTCCTTGGCATTGAGGTCGCACAGTCTCAAGATGGAATTACTCTCTCACAAAGAAAGTATGCCTTGGATATTCTTGAGGAAACGGGTTTGCTAGATTGCAGGCCAGTGGATACACCAATGGATCCAAACGTTAAACTCTTATCAGAACAAGGAGATCTTTTGCCCAACAAAGAAAAATATAGAAGACTCATCGGCAAATTGAATTATCTTACCATCACAAGACCAAATATTTCATTTGCGGCAAGTGTTCTTAGTCAGTTTCTTGATAAGCCATGTACTGGACACTGGGATGCAGCTATCCGAGTTTTGAGATACATCAAGAAAACTCTAGGGCAAGGATTGTTGTTTGAAGATCGAGGCCACCATGATATTTTGGGATACTGTGATGAAGCCTGGGCCGGATGTCCGATGGATAGACGTTCCACTTCGGGGTATTGCATCTTGATTGGTGGAAACTTAATTTCATGGAAAAGTAAGAAACAGGATGTGGTTGCCAGATCTAGTGCTGAAGCAGAATATCGTGCAATGGCCCTTGCTACATGTGAAATCTTATGGTTGAAGCATCTCCTCCAAGAGTTAAAATATGGGCACACAAAACCGGTTCAACTCATGTGTGATAATCAAGCTGCAATGCACATCGTATCGAATCCGGTATATCATGAGGGGACAAAACATTTTGAAGTTGATTGCCATTTTATCCGAGAGAAGATCGCGAGTGGACATATCATCACAAAATATATGAACACACCCGAACAACTTGCAGATATTTTAACTAAGTCTCTTAGAGGTCCTAGAGTGGAATATATTTGTAACAAGCTTGGTACATATGATTTATATGCTCCAGCTTGAAGGGGAGTGTGGAAACCCTAGTAGTATTGGGCTTAGCCCATTTGTATAGGAAACCCTAGTACTCTAAATATAGCTATAAATATAGCTTCTTGTATAGTTTTTTAGACATCAAGTATATGAAATACAACAATACTTGTTCACAGTAACGATAGAAGTCCAGTAGATAACGTAGTATATTAATGAAGATTTAAGGCTGGAATACAGAAAAACGTAAGAAAAGGTTGAGACTATTCGAGTGGCCTCACACTCCCAGTTTCCCAGTCCCAATCCCAAATTTCTGCCTGCGTTATTCTTTCCCCTACCCCCCTTTTATAATAAAACTCACTAAAAGGGCCAGCCCTCACTTAAGTTATTGGGCCTAGAACCCTATTATTGGAAGACATTAAAATACTTAATAAGACTCTAATTATTTGTAGTGCCAGGTCCCTATCATCACTCCCCCCGAACTTCCACCTTGTCCTCAACGTGGATGATAAGAGACTGATTTTCCATTGGGTTTCAGCAGGTTTTCAGCTTCATCCCATTCATATAACTGATCTTCTGTTCCCTTTTGCTTCTTTTGGCTCTTCCATCAAGATAAATTAATAATTTTTCATTCCACATACATGCTCTTTGCCCCATTTGTTTCCACATTTGAAGCATAGGCCCTTCTTGCTTCTTTCTTCTAATTCCGCTTGTGTCAACCTTTCGCCACTTTCCCATGTCTTGTTCGGTTTTGGCGATTCCTCCCGTTTGTTCTCTGAGAGTGTTCTCTCCGGAGCAGGTGTTCTTCCCTCCTGTGTCGTCTTCTGCTCCAACAACAAGGCCATGTCCATTAGTTTAGTTAACCCACTGGTCTGGTGTAATTTCAATTCCGCACTAATCTCCGCTCTGAGACCCTTGAGAAATACCCCTTTTAATAACAGCTCTTGGTCAGTAAGTTTGAGAGGAGCAACAACCCTCTCAAAAAGGTCTCTATACTCCATTACCAATGATGTTTGCTTAACACTGAGCATAGGGCCAAACGGGTTTTGTACTAAGGCTGGCTGGAAACGCCTGATCAACGCCACTTTGAAGTTAACCCAAGAATGGTCTGATGTCTTTTCCTCCCACCATTGATACCAGTTCAAAGCTTTATCGGCCATGGCGATCAAAACAACCTCCACCTTGTCATTATCAGATACTTGGTTTAGCTTAAAATAGCGTTCCACCCGAATTAGCCATCCATAAGCATCCTCACCGTCAAATAGAGGTAAATCCACCTTCGTACCTGTGTAAACAGGTTCGCCGATCCTCAAATGATGAGGAGTTCGAGAAACGGAACGAGATTCATGTGGCTCCCCCTCCAGAGCAGGAGACATGCACACTACCAGACGGATGGTGGTTGCGCGGAGTAGTAGAGCGTCCTCGAGTTCTCCTGCGATTACCCTGGGTCTCGAGATTTTGCATCTTCTCCAACAGCAGCTGCAATTTCTCGTCCATCGCTCCTAACTCCGTTCGCATCTCTTCCTTTGATCGTTCAAATGATCGCTCCAAACTGTCCATCCGTTGCTCCATGTTCAGTCGATTGAGTACCATACACAGGGTGGCTTTGATACCAAATGATAAGGCAACGATAGAAGTCCAGTAGATAACGTAGTATATTAATGAAGATTTAAGGCTGGAATACAGAAAAACGTTAGAAATGGTCGAGACTCTTCGAGTGGCCTCACATCTGCGTTATTCTTTCCCCTACCCCTTTTATAATAAAACTCACTAAAAGGGCCAGCCCTCACTTAAGTTATTGGGCCTAGAACCTTATTATTGGAAGAATGATCGCTCCAAACTGTCCATCCGTTGCTCCATGTTCAGTCGATTGAGTACCATACTTGATAAGACTCTTATTATTTGTAGTGCCCGGGTCCCTATCATGTAAGAATGCATTATTTACATCTAATCGATTGACTAACTAGCCATGAGAGAGCAATGCTCAGAGCCTCTAATTGCGACTATGATATGAAGCAGAATCTGGGCTTGGAAGAAGAGGGGCAAAAGCCTCATGGGTTTACTGAAGGCGGGGACGGGCTTGAGCCCACCTTCGTGGGATGGTTGCGGGCTGTTTAATTTATATTTATTCTATTTAATTTTCCTGATTTGATTCTTATTTGCAGTTAATTAGGATTTCTAATATTTGTTACCTATTAGGAGTTAATTAGGATTTCTATTATTCTGTTTCCTAGTTGGAGTTGATTAGAATTTCTAGGATTTTGTTTCCTAGTTTAAGAGTTAGTAGATGGGTATTTAAACCCCTTGTTAGGATTCATTCTTTGGCATCTTAGAATAAAATTGGTTTTAACCTTTTGGCTCTGGGCAACAGTATTTTTATCGTTGATTATCTGGGCAACGGTTTACCCCGGTTTACCCCGTTGATTTTTATTTTTCTAGTTCTCATTAGACTTGTTGAGTGATTAGACTAAAAGTGTCAGAATTCTCAATTCTTGGTCACTAATGAAAGTCATTTAGCCACCAATCGAGCATTACATAGATTCAAGGAAACATTTGATTTATACTTCACCATATAGAATCATTTACAACTGACAATATTCAACAAGGAGGGGGTGAGAGCTGAAGTGCCCTGTCAAACCAGGGTATTAAATTCTGTTAGCATAGCACTCAGCCATTGGTACTTGTAAGGCTTGAAAAGCACTAATGGGAACAATGCAATGAGGTAAACGGGAATGAGAAACAAGCTTGGCTTGTTTTTGGTCAAAGAGTCATTGAATTGGTACGTTTGGGTGAAGAGTTAGGTTAAGCATGTGGTTGACCGGTTGAGTCGAGAGCATTATATTTGTAGTACTAGTTTGGGCAGTGGCGTGTGGTGGATGAGGGGGTCACCCAACATGTTTTTGCTTAGATCGGTATTGGTAGGTGATGACTTTTGGCGGTGTGGGTGTAGGTGTGATGGGTTGGTTGGTGATGAGAGGATAAATTATATGTGTGAGGTAAGAAGAGATGAACCTAGAGATATTTATTGAGGCGATGCATGAGTAGTCAGAGACGTGTCTATTACCGTTGTACCTCAAATAGTAGGAGGTGTAGGTGTAGGTGCGAAGGATTTGCAGCCCTAAAGTTAGATATGAGCAAGACTTACGATATAGTAGAATGGAATTTCTTACAAAGGGTAATAGAGATCATGGGTTTTAAAGTGAAATGGATCGACTTAATTGGGGAACGTATATCATCAGTATCGTATTTTTGCCTTTTGATAATTCGGTGATCAGGCCAATTGTTCCAAAACGAGGTCTAGGGCAGGGAGATCTTTTGTTGCCCTATTTGTTTATTATTGTTAAAGAGGGGTTGAGTTCATTGATTCGTAAACAAGAGGCTCTCAGTCGACTAAAGGGAATAACATTTGCGAGGAAAGCTTCTAACATTTCTCATTTATTGTTTGCGGATGACAATTTTTTATTCTTTAGAGCTCGCAAAGAAAGAAGGTCAGGTTGTCAAACAAATAATTCTGGAACAGTATGAAGCTCAATAAGGCAAATGTGAAGGATTGGAAGCGTGAAGAGCTCAGTAGTTTATTGGGCGTGGATAAGGAGGTTGAAACCGGAATTATCTAGGTCTTTTGGCTCTCATTGGATGATAGAAAAAAGATATTTTGGCCTTCCTAAAAGAAAGGATAATTAAGCGTCTGCAAAGTTGGAAAAATAAATTTCTCTCTAGAGCCGAAAGAGAAATATTGTTGAAGACAATTATACAGGTCCTTCCGACTTATGCCATGAATGTTTTTCTCCTGTCCGATGGATTAATTATGGGAAGAAGCAGGGTTTTTATCCGTGTTGAGGGAGGACTCAGTCACAGGGTGTTGGCAGAAGGCCTTTAGTAGCCTGGCGGAGGAGAGTTTTATGTAAATTAGTCATGCTTTTGTGGAGTATTTAGAAAATGCGAAACAAAATTGTGTGGAGAGGTTAGACTTTTTCTATGGAAGGGGTACGAAGCTCTCTGTTACGGTACTAAGGGGGTGTTTGGAACTGATTCTGCTTCTGCTTCTTTTTTAAAGTAGAAGCAGAATCAGAATCAGTTTTCAGAAGCTGGTACCTACCAGCTTCTAAAAAAACTGATTCTGAGATTAAATTAGAGCACCAGAAGTGCTTCTGGAATTTCACCCAAACACTCCAGCTTCTGCTTCTGCTCCTTCTGCTCCCTGAAGCAGCAGAATCGGTTTTGACAATCAGATCCAAACACCCCCTAACCTTTCTGGAGAGCTGCTCAAGAAAAGGCGCAAGTTGGAGGACACCCGAAGAGAATTGGGTCAAGATAAATGTCGACGCAGCAAAGAATATCCGGATTGGTTATTGGGCATGGAGATGGATATGTCGAGATAGCAGCGGCCATTTTATGAAAGCTAGATGTGGCAAGTAAAATGCTATGCGGAAGCCTGTGGGAGCAAAAGCCTTGGGAGTGAGAGAGGCTATTTTATGGGCGAAAGAAAAAGGTTGGAACAACGTAATTATTGAGACTGATTTGGCAATGGTTAATTCAGGTATAGTGGAGGAGCCAAATGATGCCCAAGTGGGGGTTATTTTTGACGATATTCGATTCTTATTAAGAAAGGATGTCGATAGAACCATTAAATGGTGCATGAGAAGGGCTAATAGAGTAGTTCATACCCTCACTAAAGGGACTTTTTCTCTCTCATAGTCAATAGTCATGTTAATTTTGATTACCCACCCGTTATCATTGTAAGCCTTTTGGCAAACGATTTATTAAATTAATGTGATGTGGTTTACTCTGGAAAAAAAAGCGAGTTAGAGGAGTAGGGTTTCTATATCGACCTCACTTCTACAATACATGTGGTGTCAGTTTTAAGCACTTCAATTTATATACGCATGTGTATAAATATATATTTTTGAATGGTGTCAACTTGAAGTCATAGCCCAGAGCAGCAGAGCTTAGCTCCATCCTTGTCAAAAAAAGAAAATAGTGGACACAATTTATTAAACAACCAACATCTACCTTATTACTATGTCAAGAAAAGAAAATAGTCCACACAATTTATAAAACAACAAACATGTAACTTAATATTTAGTATTTATAAGAAAGTTGCATACCTTATCGTGGGAAATTTTCTCTTCTGCAAGAGAAAAAAAAAGTGAGAAATACAAAAACAAAACAGAAGTAGATGCAAGTATAAACTATACAAACTAGACCAAAAACATGATACAGTACAAAAGAATAACAAGAGAAGAGATCCTTTTATAGATTGAATACCTTTCTGATGTCTCTGTTTGTTATGCTTCTTCTTTTTATTCTTCTTTACGAATGGTGCTGAGTCTGATAAAAAATGAAAAATTCGAAGGATAAACTGATTGCTTTTTGTAAAACATGTGCGACACTCTACTAATATGATTTGGGAAAAAGACATAAAATAGGAGTAAAACATGCTCATGGCCGGGACTTGAATAGGAATCCAAGTTTATTAACTCCCGTCTTGGAGTAAAGTTTTAGTGAGGGACAAAAATACTCTCACGTCTCACGCACGAGCGACACAACAGGCTACCTAGGATCGTGTAGAAATTACTTCGGAAATGGATTTACTCGCTGCGTCAAACTTCTTAGGACGCCAAGAAGCTTCATCAGATTTATTTGGAAGCCTAGAAGAGTTCCTGCCATGAACCGCACCCATTGCAAATAGTTAAACAGCTTCCCTAAATTGTACAATCTACTCGATCGGTACCATCCATCGGCAATAGTAATTCAGATTTGCCAAGCCCGCCACTGCCCAGTCGGCTAAGCTGACAAGGCTAGGTCAGAGAAGATCAACTCTCCGTGAGAGGAGACTAGTATACTGGTGGTGAAGTGCAAGGGATTTTCCCACACTATTCTCTCTCATCAATTATAGCGCGGAGGAAGGGGTAATTTAGGGAGCACGGAAAAACATACTTCTACTACTACAGAGAATATCATTTATCAAGTAAAGCTTTTTACACAGGAATGAGTCGTAAGTCTTTCAAGAATGAAGCTGAGAACGGTGGGGGATGTTTTATACGAGGAAAACCTAATTCCAAGAAATTTCAAGCTTACTGGGATGACTATAAAAGCAATCAGATGTTTAAGACCACAAAACAGACTGAAATTGAACACAGATGCGACCTATGTACCTCATAAATCAGGTGGCGGTGCAATTTTAAGAAATCAAGCTGGAGAGATGGTTGCTGCGACTTCATTTCCTTTGTCAGCTTCGTCAAGCTTGGAGGCAGAGTTACTCTCCATAATTGAAGCTACTCGATGGGCATTAAAGGCAGGCTATACGAATTTTCAGGTGGAAACGGATGCGGAGATGGCGTTGGCTTGTATTGCGAAGGAAGGGGAAGGAAGATGGACGGGCATTATTCAGGTAATGCTATACACATCAAACACGAAAGGGTATGTTTCGAACATACCTGGAGAACGAAACTGGGCTGCGCATCATTTGCTTCATCATCAACGGCCCAAATCAGATATTTTACAAAGCCTGTGGATCTACCGATTGAGGCCAGACGGGGCCTATTACATGATCTTTTTGGTATACCTTCTCTTAGATGTATCTAAAGTTTATGGAGGTATGCCTCCACATAGGTTTTGTTATGGTTACCCTCTCAATTTGTAATATTTTTAAATATTAATAAAATTTGGCAAGAGTTCCCCGGCGTTTGCTCCACTGATTTTGGTGGTATTCTTTCCGGGTTAAAAAAAAATAAAAAAAAAATATTTAAAACTTATTTAGGTATATTAGCTAACTAGCTTCTACTCCTATTTGGAACAATTTCTCAGCTTATACCTTCGCCAATGGATACAGATAAATCACGCTTCAGTCGGACGCTAAACAACGCCCCGAGATCCCACCCCTTGTTAAGCCCTGTTAAGATTATATAAAATTAATCAAGTCAAAGTGTGATGCATGATGAAGTCATTTTTACAGGTAAAAGCATATTGTAAATTATTGAATAAATATTAAACAATTAACATGAAAAAATAGCTAAAAGATATATAGTCATACATTGACCTTTACAATACATAGACAATGATCTTTTTAGTGCGGTGGCCATGAGGATGCCCTGAACCATGCGGTGGTTTCAATCCATTGTGCGGTTATTGGAATCTTTCAAAAATTTCCTTTAAAATTACATGGAATCCCTGCCTATTAAGAATTAATGTCCCTCATGGCCTCATCAAGATCTCATAAATAAGATTGCCGTGGCTATTTTTGGAATGGATGGGGGGGAAGGATTTAAGTGGGAGAGGAAGGAGGAGATCAATTTTTTATTTTCAACCCCATTTTTCTTTTCAACTTGTACATGTTCTAGCTCTGTTTGGATTTATTTTTCACAAATACCGCATTGTTAAAATATACTTTAATTATTTTATATTTTACCTTTCTATTTTTATTCAACAAATTTATAGATTAGGTCAATATGCTAGGCATATTCCCATGATCACAATTGAGAGAACTTTTGTACTCTATAAAGCCAGTCGGGCTAGTGTGCTGTTTAGCAAGTTTTTACTTAGACTGTTTTCAGTCTAATCAGACTAGGCTTAAATAGATTGGATTAGACTAGACTTTCATAGTTATTATAAAATACATAGAGACTAGACATTTATTAGATTAGATTAGGGATGGGTTGGGACCGTTACTGTTTGGGCCCGAACCGGACTGGGACCGATTGGCCGGTTCCGGGCTTTTAGCCCGTGTGGGCGGGTCGGGCGGGCCGGGCTCGGGCCCAACTTTTGGTGAACCGGCCCACGCGGTTCAGGACAGGCACGGTTCAAATTTTTTTTTCAATTTTTTTGCTTTTCTAAGTTAGGGTTGGATGTTTTGGGGGGGTTTGGGGGTGGGGTGAGGGAGGGGGTCGGGTGTTAATTAGAAACCAAAAAAAATGAACTTGACCCGGGCCCAGCCCGACCCGGCCCGGTTAGACCCGGACCCGGTATCAACCCGGGCCGGTTCCGGGCCCAACATTTTGCAAAAACAGCCCGTCTGGGCCCGACCTAGAACCGGAACCAGACCGGCCCGGGTCCATCTCTAAATTAGATCAGTTTAGATCAGACCAAACTAAAATAGATCAAACCACATTGTCATATTTAGGAGTGTAAAAACATCCTTAGTAAGCGTGATCCGTAAGTATTTGGTACTTTATCATCTTCTATTTCTTAACTTATGTTCTTCATCTTCTCTCTTAATGTAATAATCATAAGTAAATAGATTACTTAGGATACGTTTGGGAGTTGTGTTTTGGAGAGGAGGGGGAGGTTGACGGAGTTTATGACATTCATTTTCATGTTTGTTAGTTTAAAAAATGGAGGAATGATTTTTCCAAAACTCTCTAAATGTTCAATTTATAGTTCCCCAATTTGGAGGATTTTGAAGGATAATTAATCAAATGATAATTTAAACTCAATTAAAAATGAATATGAATTCAATTAATTGAATTTGTCATATTTTAATTATAAATTCTGTAAAGACTCTCCTCTTCTAAATTTATTACTCCCAAATACAAAGAAGCATTTATCACCTTTCCGTCCAACAAATACCTTCAAAGGTTTTCCCTCCCTTTCTCTTCAAACTCCCAAACTCAATTGCGATCATGGTTCGATTTTAGTTTTAGAATTTCTTTTAAAATGTTTGGGCTTGTTTTTTGGATGTTAAAACAAACGGCATCACACTTTTTGAGTAACTTTCAAAACCTAAGAGACTTGGGAAGTGGATCATTCAGAATGATGGTATTGTGCACAAATAATTGCGACAAGAACAAGTATGCCACTAAAGCGGTTAAGGATTACACCTCACTAGAATAGGCATCTCATGTAGCTACGGTAATGTCTAAACTTCATCACCCTTTCATCAAACGCTATAATATGGTGATTTAAAAAAACTTCTCTTGTAAATGTATTTTTATTTCAGTTTTTTTTAACAGATTTTATTTCAATAAATAAAAATTACAGGCATGGGTTGAATCCAATATGAAGAGTTCGGTGACTAACTATGAATCTCCAAAATCCTGCTTGTTCATACTTCAAGAATATTGTCCAGATTAAAAAACTTTTTAACCTTTGTGTGTGATTGAGTTAGTGAAATATTATTCACACTAATTATTTTGTTGATGTAGAGATTTGAGGTCACTTCTCCAAAAAGAAAGTGAATTTTATCAAAGGGCTACATAAAAAGATATGCGTACAATTATTGTATGCTTTGAGCCATATCCATACCACCGGGTATGTTCATGAAGATATTTCTCTTGGAATTTTGGATTGAGTAAGAATTATTTTCAGTTACATATTTTTATTTGTATTTATTTAAATCCACGTTACTAAAATTTGTTGTGTTTTACAAGCAAGCGCATTAGACATCCATCTACTGGGTCTGGAACTGAACTGTTTCGATACCCTAGGCTTAACAAGGGAGATGCGGTCGTTCCCGCCCATGATTGGTATAGTGTTGGAGTACTACTATACCGAAACGGTTCCGTATTGTAATACTCCAAAACTATACCAATAATGAGCGGGAACGACCGCATCTCCCTTCCTAAGCCTAGGGTATCGAAACGACTCAGTTCCAAACCCAGTAGATGAATGTCCAATGTGTTTGCCTGTAAACTACAACAAATTTAGGTAAAGGAGAATATAATAAATACAAATAAAAACATGCAACTGAAAATAATTTTTACTCAATCCAAAATCTCCCAATTTGACCAAGCCTTGACCACTGAAAAAGATATTTCCAAGAGAAATATCTCCATGAACATACCCGGTGGTATAGATATGGGTCAAAGCATACACTAATTGTATGAATATCTTTTTTTATGTAGCCCTCTGATAAAATTCCTTTTCTTCTTTGGAGAAAGTGACCTCAAATCTCTACATCAACAAAATAATTAGTCCGAATAATATTTCACTAACTCAATCACACACAAAGGTTAAAAAGTTTTTTACTCTAGAGAATATTTTTGAAGTATGAACAAGCAGGATTTTAGAGATTCATAGTTAGCCACCAAACTCTTCATATTGGTTTCAACCCATGCCTGTAATTTTTATTTATTAAAATAAATTTGTTAAAAAGAAACTGAAATAAAAATAATGTACAAGAGAAAATTTTATGTTAAATTACCATTTTATAGCATTTGATGAAAGGGTGATGAAGTTTAGACATCACCGTAACTTTCTGAGACGCCTCTTCCACCTCTTCCAGTGAGGTGTAATCCTCAACCACTTTAGTGGCATATTTGTTCTTGTCACAATTATTTATGCACAATACCACTTGTTCCGAATGATCCACTTCCCAATTCCCTTAGCTTTTGAAAGTTACTTCAAAAGTGTGATGCAGGTTGTTTGAGCATACAAAAAACAAGCACAGACATTTTTAAAGAATGAAAATAATTATAACAAGATCAGAAAGATACTACTAAAAATTGAGACACTCATAATCTAAAAGTGAAATTAAATTTATGTGCTTTTGTTGCCACAAGGAAATATTTCAAAGGACTAATCTCACATGAAGTTAACAAAGAATTCTAAAACTGAAATCGAACTTACGTGCTTTCTAAAAGATTTAAAGAAGAGAAGATTTTTAGATGAGATAGTATAGTACCCATGCATACGCACGGGTGATAATTGTTTTGTATTTTTACTCTAAAAATACAATTGCATCATTACATTAAACAATGTCTGGAAATTTCATAAGGAAAATTTTATGTGCAGAAGCGATTGTGCTGTTCCATAGAAAGAATGAATAAATAAAATCAAATAATTAACCAATACATCTATAATAAGCACTAAGAAAAGGTAAAATATAGAAGCTAAAGAACATCACTTTCACAAAAGGCCATGAAACTCAAGTGTAAATGTACAAAATTGATGAAACTACAACTTTTCGAAAATATTGATTTGAATGGATTGAAGTCGATCAATCTGCCAATCGATCGTAATTGGACATTAAGCATTTTTCGTATTTTATAGTTATGGAAGGTTTTAAGTGTTAAACTCTATTCAAGAAACTAAATGGCATAAATAAGAGGAATATGTTACAATTATGTTTTGAACATCACATGTTGAATTCATAATTATCATTAGTTTTCTTAAATGCTTGAGAAGTTAGGTATTTCTGATCTGAACAGTACAAAATGAAGAGAAGGTATAAAAAAATACTAGTACTATTTATGCATTTAATTATCCTTTTTCGAAAAGTGTTGTGTTTTATGTTTCTTTCATAGAGATCCCCTTTGTAAAATGAGACAACTGAAGTCATAATTAAGATGCTTCAAAATTTGTGAAATTAAATTTATGTGCTTTCATTACCACAAGGAAGAATTTCCAAAGATTAAGGGGTTGTTTAGAGGTTGTTTACTTTTTTCTCTTAAATCCTATTTGGATCAATATGTCTATTTGGATGAAGTGGATATTTGTATATGACGTTGTTTATTTTGTATCCTGAATGAACAGTCCGAGTCGATTAAAATAATCAATTTAGTATTATTCTTAGATTATTATGTCAATGAAAAACTTCATTTTTAATATAAATCTATTCCACAATCAATTTGAAAAAATTGATAGAAAGAAACGTCATAATAGACATCTTAATGGGAAGGACGGCTATTCTTCAGCTTAATGATTAAGTCAATTTTTTGACTAAATGATTAAGTCATGTTTCCAGTTAAGTCAAACATGACTTAATGGCTGAATGATTAAGTCATCATTGTCATTAAATCCATTAAGCCGGAAATAAATAGCCCTTTAGTTAACAAAGAAAATCTAAATTTGAAGTCAAACTTACGTGCTTTAAAGAAGGGAACATTTAAAATTGAATTGCTCAACTCATTCACCGATAACAAGCTCTATTTATACAATTAGGGAGAAATTATATTT